TTTTTTTTTTTTTAAACCAGAAGTCCAATTCTTTCTGGCTAGCCTCTTTGCTGAAGACAAGTAAAAAGGACAAGAAAGAGTTCTTTCTTTCTCTTTCTTTCTTTTTCCCGATTGTGTTCCTGTCTAGTTTAAATAACAGAAGGACAAACGCAAGCAGGCTTAAACCACCACAGCACAAAATCTGTATTCCGTTTACCACGCAGTCAACCTAAATAATCATTTATTACCTTGATGAATAGTCTCTACACATATTTGAATTAGCCACACACAGAGGTCTTGGGTTCAGATGCTTGGCTATTTGTGTTAGTCTCATTAGTAACAGGTTGGGTTTGCAGAGGGAGTAGAAGAGTGGCAGGCTGGCATACGGGTGGCACAAGCTGTGTTTACTGTAGAGCTTAGGATGTTTACAGACAGTCCTCAATGTGTGGGCATGTGCGTCAGGGAAAGGAAGAGGGAGATGTTTTGCATGCATACTGTATATTCAGGTGGATGTGTGCAGTATATGTAAATTCACGGGTCTATCTGAAAGCTCAGTGTGTTTGCAGACTACACCAGCAGTCACATAAGAGACTGGTCAAAGTGTTCTCGATGCTTGATGTTCAGTTTTCAGTAGATGTGAATTAAGCGAAGCTTAGCTAGGTTTATGTTAATACATTAATGTACATTTCATATGTGCTGAGAAATTAAAAGAAGGATTTGTTTGTCATTTGCAAATACCGGAGTGGTGTAAGATCAAGCACTCACAATAGTTATGACTATTAATATCTTTAAACATACTCTGGAAATGGATTTGTCAAATACAAAATGTTTGTCATGTAGCTTAGTCTCAGTTTTCAGTGACAAAGAAAAAAAATTGCTAAAATATTTACTATAGGGTATTGCTTTTGCTTTTAAAGACACAAAACATAGTATTTGAACTTTAACTGACCCTAAAAGTCTTGTTTCATCTTAACGAATTGCTCAAGAAAAATCGTTTGCCACTATTTTGACAATGTCAGGAGCGACTTAACTGGACAACCTGATTGAAGTGCGTCTGTCTTTCATTTGAGAAAATCAATACTAACATTTATCTGCCGTGGAAGCATATATTTTGTTAGTTCTGCAAGCACTTTTTAATATCTCCCTAATTCTTCCTTTATTTCCCCCCTTCCTATTTCTCTCACTGGTGGTCTTGCACTCTCTGTCACACTCTCCTGTCACAGTATGGAGTATTGTTTGAAGCTGGTGGAAATAGAGCATACAGAAGGAGATAATAATCCTCCTCCAAGTCTGACAGGTTGCTTGACAGGCTGTCAGCAGGGGCCTCTATGTAGTGCACCAGAAATATCTGCACACTTAAACGCACACTCACTGCTTCACTCCAAATCATTCCAAAGGCAGTACCTTTATTCCTGGCCAAACAGAGGCGAGAGAATATTTCGGACGGCATGCACACAGACACACACTGCTGTGTTTTCATTATTTCAGAGGACAGTACATCGACTTTGATTCATTCTCTGGAGATTTACCATAACCCTACATCTAACGTGTTAGCTGGTCATGCTAGCAATGAACGTTGCCTTCTTAATGAAATAAATTTACAATATTAGAACTTTTT